AAAAACGCAGCCAAGGTTTTCTTTCCAAATTTATTCTGAAAAATGTAAATATCAGAAAATAATTGCTAATACATACCAGAGTTCAAATCCCACACTCTTTAACTGACAATATTGTATTTAATCCTTATAACAGTACAGTGAGGAAGATTCTGTATCCCCTAACTGCAGAGGAAGAAGCAAACGTCCAGTATTTTGCTCACGATCACACGTTAGTCAGCCGTCAAGCTGGAATTTGAATCCAAGTCTGTCTGATTTCAAAGCTGATGTATTTTTCCCCTATACCTGGATGTATTTTTTCCCCTCTCATACCCCAAATTCAAACCATCAGGAAATCCTACTGGCTTTAGTTTATCCTTTAAATGTATCCACTATCTGACCACTTCTCAGGACCACCAGGCTCCCGCTGTAATCTGAGCCACCATGATCTCTGGCCCCGCTATTTTGTAGGGTCTCTTATCTGGCCTCCTGACTCCCATCCTTGCCTGTAGCCCCACAGTCAGCTCCTAGTGGTCAGAGTGATCTCTTGAAAGCAAAGTCCCGGTATTTCACTCCTCTGCTGAAAAATTCTGCGGTGGCTTTTCATCTCTCTGAGAGTAAAATCAGTTCTTATGACCCACCAGGTTCTGATTTCAAAGGTTCCATTATCTCACACCCCTGCTATTTCTCTGGCCTCCTTGCAGTTCCTCAAACACTCTGAGCACACTTCCACCTCAGGGCCTTTGCACTTGCTGTTTTTTCAGTCTAAAAGGCTCTTTACCCAGATATCCTTGTGGCTAGCTGTCTCCCTTCATTCATCTCTTTGCTTGTATGTTACCACATCAGAGACGCTTTCTTGACCATCTGCAGGCCCAGCCTCCATCACTTCTGTCCTTGACTCCAGTCTATTTTTCTTCTTCCTTTTTATCATCATTTGCCAATATTGTATACATTTTTTACTATTTGTTTTTAGTCTGTGTGCACCCCCCCCCCCCACACACACACACACACTAAAATCTAAGCTCTCTAAGACTGGGGACTCTCATTTTGTTCACAGTTGTATTCCCAGTGCCTAAAACAGTGTTCCAGTAGGTGCTTGAAATATTGGTTGTTAAATAAATACTTTTTGTGAGATTACACTGTTTTTCCTTTCATTCCTTGAATGTTAACCTACAAATTCCACATATTTGGAGCGAGGTCATTTGTAGGATTATCAGCCAGCCAGTGCTTATCAAGGATTTTCTCTGTGCAGAGCACCATATTTTAACTCCTTCATTTTGGGCTTAAGTGCTAAGGTTTATACCTAATGTTACTATGGAGCCTTTGCTCATCGCCATGTAATTAGGGATCTCTGTATCATCAGAACGATTCCTTTTCCTAGCATTTTCTAGAAGGTCCGAGAATTTCTACCAATGAGATAATCAAGGGCCCTTTTGTGGAAAAGCTCATTTCATGGTCTGCAGGTAAAATCATACAAACTCCAAGACCAGGATTTGTGTGTATAATGATTCAGATTTTCTGGAGGATATCAGATCCTAAATGGAAGATGAGTACACGGATTTAAGGAAGAACATTTTCCCTAAAATGCCTCATAGGAGCTGCAGCCTCTGTCTTAGGAATGTGTGCCGGCCACACTGGTGAATTTCAGGCTCCTAAAAGGCAGATCAGGCACCATATTGTGCAAACAGACTGCAGCCTGGTGTCCTCTGGACCCACGTTTTCCAAAGCATAGGTGTGAACTGTTCAGGTCATTTTTAAATTTGAGAAGGTGTGTTAGTGCGCAGATGACCACGTGAAAGATGCTCTCCCACAGGAAGTTACAGGCTCAGTGTCTGATTCTTGAACACCCGCTGTCCCACGCTGGACCTCCCTCTTTCTACTGCTCCGTGCCAGTAAGCTGGAGCAGCCTGCCTCTTCCGATCCAGGCCCCCTAACTTGTTCTGTGAAGAGCAGATACCTGGGCAAGCTGCTCCAGGGGGTGGGAAAAAAGACACCCAGCTGTCTCCAGGAAACTTTCTTTTTTAATAGGCTGAGCAAGGACAAGACATCAACAGCTTTGCTGTGTGTCTTAGTTAATTATTTTTATTTTGGGATTCTAAATTTGAAGACCAGGACACTTGCCCATATCTGTAGCTGTCAAGGTCCAGTTTGTTTCAAGCTGGCAGTGTTTATAATAGCAAATCGTTGAGCTTAAGCAACTTTTAAAATTTGTTTTGCCCAAAATTCTACCTATAAAACTGAGTATCTTCTTGACCTGTTTAGTGTTTTCCTAAGTAAGCAGGAAAAATGGATTGTTTACTGGGTTTTTGTATAACTCTTTAAGGATGTACCTAGATGACATTTTGACATAGAAGATATTTCTTTACTTTTATGTAACTTGAAATATTCCTGTTTTAATTCTTGGCAAGTAGCTAGACCTATACGTGTGCCTTTATTTAGATAGATGGTCTTGGTTAAGCTTCACAATATCTAGAATTTTGGTTTAAATGCTCACATTCCATTGTCAGCTTCCTGGTGTGATTAATTTTCTGGACTGCAGCAATGGAAATGCTGTCCTTCAGTGCTGTCCACAGTGAAGTGTTCTGTTGCTAATCCATTCAGTAGATCTTCCTTGCACCCCTACTGTGTGCTAGGTAACTCTTCTAAGCATCGGCAGTACAGTGGTGAAGAAGACCATGTCTGCACGGAGCTTACGCTCTAGAAATCGGTACTGGCCAGTGAGTGCGTTAGTTCTCTGTGCTGTTCAGCCAGCCGCCTCCCTCTGTGTCACTCATTTCCGGTATCTGAACCGTGCTGAGCTGCTTGAACTTGCTGAGCACATCATGCCGTCTATGTCTCCCTTTCTTTGCGCCTGCTGCTCCCATTACCCAGAACGTTCTTGCCTTCTTTGTTTACCTGGCAAACTCCTCCACTTTATTTAAGACTTAGCTCGAAAGTTATTTCATCTCTGAATGCTTTCCATCCTCTCTTAGGCCACGTTAACCACCTTGCTTTTAAACTATTGTCAAAATGAATAAATGCTCTTTCCAGAATAGAGTTAACATTTCTTAGCTGGAAAGACATACCTCAACTTGGAATTCCTGGGTGTGCGCCTCCTGTCTCCACCTGCAGAGCCGGCAGGTTCTCTAGGCGAAGTGCGCGGTTCAGCGGAAGAGGTGTTAGTGTGTGGTGCCCTCAAGTGGTCCAGCCCGGCACTGCGACTCACTTCCTCCACAAGAGCGAAATAGTCCAGTTTATGTCGTAAATACATATGCATATATTGAGGGAGGGAGGATTATAATGTAATTATGTAACTGGAAGTTAAAATGATCAGACCATCTTTATCTTGAGAAGCTCAAAACTTTACAGTACCCTGAGCAGGCTCGTGATGTATGTGTGGGGATGGTTTTTAATCTTCACTGTTTTGTAACCAGGAGACCTGAGGCACCGAGATGTGACAGGGTTTGCTTATGTTCCTTCCTTACATGAGCGGAGAATATGCACATACTCTCTCGCTCGCTTTGTGTGCTACTTGGCTTGGCGAGTAGATTTTTCTTTCCTTACCCGTTGTTGGAGCCTCATTGAGTTCTGCATTTCATCCTGTATGTTAGTCTGAGATCTCTTTGGCTTGTGCTCTCATCCACTGTATCCTTGCAGCAACACAGTTTTAAAATTAAAGACCTTTTTGACAAAATATTTTTGCTCATTAAGTGAGGGATAAGTTGATAGTGATAATTCCAATAAACAAATTCTCAAAAACCAACAGTCACCTAATCAAAGTTGGCCCAGGTATTGAGGTACTTTGGGGATGTTAGTTTCCTTAGTGTGGGTTTGCGGCTGCAGGGACTAAAAAAGAGAAAGGCGGAGAGTGACAGTAGTGAGTTCTTAGTTCTTAACTAGTGGGTTCTTGGTTCTTAACAGGTAGGCTGAAGTTTAGCTCACCTATTAAGGAGGGTGGGTTGTATTCCTTGACTCATACTTGGGAATGGCAAAAATACAAAACAAAACCAAAGAGACATGAAGACGCTCCTTCCAGCTCTCAGCAGGACGGAAATCCACAGTCCGAAACATCTCAATTTTATTTCTACCTCCAGCAATGAAGTTTTTGATTTTGACCCCCATGTGTTGGAACATATCTTCTTCTTTAATAGAAGTGTCATTGTAGTTAACACCTGTCCTTTCACACATGTGAGATAAACAGAGTACATTCACTCTTTGGTGAACAACCATGCCCAAGTTATTTCTAACTATAGAAGGCACGTCTTATATCAGGACTCAGGATTCCTTGTAATAGGGTTTCCTTATATTCCGTGTTGAATCATATCCAAAATGTAGCAAGCAGAAGCAACAGAGAACCTAAAACACAGGTTGAGGTCCTCTAAGATGTAGTGTCCAGATTCGTCATCCCACACCAGTCCTGTCAAGTGTGTCTTAGTTACCCAACCAGTTTCCACATAGTTATACTGTCTCGCCCCCCACAAGGAAAAAAAGGGAGTGGCCCTATCTTATCAATAGCAAAGTTTATAAAACTCAGAAGCAGGATAGTAAGAAACTAGGAGAGAAAAGTAGTAGCCCAAAGCTGAGAAAGTCAGATGTTCATTTTAGAGGGACCGAAGCTGCTAGAACAATCTTAATTAGCCACAAATTATGGAGAAAATTAGTAGCATCCCTTTAGGAGGATAAAATGTCAAAAATTTCCTATTTGGTGTTGTATAACAATGTTCAGTTTAGAAAGAGTATTCTCTCCTGAATCTCTGCTCTCTACATTTAAGCTTTCTTTTTAAAGATTCAAAAAGGTATATTTCTGCTTATTTTTAATACTTTCTCTGGTCTCAAGTTCTGTTTATTGATAGATTGGTTTAGTACAATTTGTTTGATGCTTTCATGTGTTCTGTTAAGCTGGCTTTAGATAACTACTTTTCTTTCTCTAAAGGTAGAAACTTTAGATGTCATCAGAATGTTTCTGCCGCTAAGAGCAGTCAAGCATTCTGAGTTTGTGGCCTTCCTAATCAATGGCATATTTTGGGGGGGGTGTTGCCTTCTAGAGTGTTCTGCCATACTTTATCGCTACGAAACTATCGAAAATCCGAAGGCCGACTTTGGATAAGCCCTCTCCAGAGACGTTTGTGAAGTCTGCAATTAAAACGGTTGGCTTGCAGTCCCGAACCACCGGGTACCCGATCCATTCTCTCGTGGTACGTAGATTTTCAAGTCCCAAGTCAGCACTTTGGCTTGGGGTTTTCTTTCCCATTGAACGACAAAATAGTATGTGATATGAGCATATATTCATTGTCTAGACTCTACACCCAAGAACTTTAAAATCTACCTGTAAATAAAACAACAGTGCGGTCAGACGTAAGATCATATGTTCTAATTTAGCTCAGATGGTAGGCTGTAATTACATTATGACCCCATTTCTTTCCCTAGAGCTCAATAATGTCCATGCTGCCTTCTTGGATGAGTTTGAAAATTTCCATGAATTACAGCAAGGCCACGCGGGCTCACTATCTGAAGAAAAACAAGAAGAACTAAGCATTGATGACGCCATTGGCCACATGCTCCAGCCTATGCATGTTCACTGCAAGGCACCCACCCATCTCCAAGATCTTCAGTTGTCCTTTTAATAGTTACTGATAAAGCTAAATATTATCCTCATTGGGAGGAAAGCAGAAATTGCTTTCAGGAGCTCTTGACATCCATTCTGGATACCACCAGGAGTTATTCTGAAGTTTAATATAAATGCTCATATCAAATGGATATAGAACTAACGTTAGTAAGAACAGCGTATTGGGAAGGAACATGGTCACAGCAAATCACACGATGAGAGAGTCAGACATAATGCTCACCAGTTTCATCTGGCCCAGAACGCCAGTGACAATTATTCTTGTATTTTCTCCAAAATATACTTTAGAAAGTAACGGCCAGCTACTCTTTTTTGTTTGGATGCTTCGAGGGAGTGGAGATTGATTCACTTACGGGAGGACACACTGCAGTTTGCACAGTTCTCTGGAAGGTTTTCGAAAAGGATGTCCTGGCTTGTACATTTATATGGCACTTTTCTTTCTCAGAGGTAGCTAGTGGAGTAAAGCTAATTATGAAATATGGAGTTATTTTTGACGCATGAAGCCCACTAAGATATGCTTTCCTCTAATACATTTTTCTTCTCAGTTGAAATGTATGTAAGTACTGAAAGCTATATAGTATGATTTATGAAGGTAAACTGGCCAAAATGTACATTGAGATGGGCAGCCACCTATGGTGCCACTAAAACCCTGACCTAGGAGAGTGGCCTGCTTGGAGCCCAGCTTTGTTTGTTTCTGCCCTGCACCCTACTGCTCAGTGTGGGACGATAGGCTGCTCCTAGAACAGTAATGATATCAGAGAAGCGGCATCATACTTTTAAATCAATACTCTCTACGTACTGATATAATTAGTTTTAATAAAAGATGATATAACCATGGTGTTGATTGAAAATATGTTCCTTTCCTGCTTGAAATTAAGACCATTTTTATACTAGCTTAATATAAATTAGGGCTTACTTTTATCCTGCTACATAACTTATTTTGAGAAATCGCCAAGAAATAATTCAATATTGTGAAACAGGCCACACAGAAGGCAGGCCATCACTTAGGCTGCGGTTCCTAAGCTCTGAGTTGTAAGCACCAGTAAATTTGCAAAAGAATTTTTAATTGGGCTGTTTAAGTGTTTCTAGCTTTTAATTTTGCCAGTGAAGGACATAAAACAAAAACAGAAAAACCCAAATTACCATCTGCCAGTAGCATCATTATATAAAAGGAAAGACATTTAGCACCCAAAGAGTAGGAGGAACAGAATCTCAGAATAAGGAATAGTCATTTAAATGGAATAAATTTAGCTTTCTGAAAAACACATTGCCTTTTTCTCTCTCTCGTTTTGTGGTAAAAATGGTGAAACCACAGTGCCCTGGGCGATTCTTTATTTACCTTCACGCATCGGTTAGTTGACTGTTTCGGTGGACAGTCGGGAGAACTGGGGAGGGACTGGCTTACAAGTATTCAAAATACTTTCCCCTTTATCCCTTAGAAAACAGTTGTCTTCTGGCTAGGAAACCCCTCAGCCGTCTCAAATCTGAGCTATGGCTCTGACTGCTTCAGCTTAGCAAGTATCTTCTAGTATTCGACACTCAAGGTTGAAGGTGACTACATGAAAATCTGTTTCCAGGCACATAAAAGAAAAATTGTACTAAAAAAAACAATGTTCTCAAAACTCTCAAAGTACGGAAGTGTAATTTTTAGACTTAACTTTATATTAACTTGATTGTATAGTCTGGTGTGTGCTAGATAAGCGTTGAACCCAAAAAGACTAAGAGATGGTATTGATTATTCATATAGAATCAGCTCAGTCATGACATAGAAAGCAGATCTTAATTCATTGTTCTTTCATTGTCCTTTCAGTGAAATAGCATGAGGGGAACAGCAGAGGAATCGTCCTGCACACATAATGTGTGCCACTCTGATTTGTCCTTGTGTCAGTCCCACATGCACTGGGAATAAATAAATAAATGCTAAAGATGATATTATTGTTCTCCATTTCCTGGGATGTGGTCCTGTCCTGAAGAGATGAATTCTGAGTTATTTGATATTTCTTGCATTGAAATATAGTAACATTGAACTTTATATGGAGTGATCTTCAGTGCTGACTCCAATGTAAGTGGTGCCGATTCGTGTGGAAGAGATTAACTGTGATGAGAACACCTTATGAGAATGAGAATGAAATGAGCTTACCTGGTACTGTAATTTCTTAGGTGTTTGACACCAAAAATTACCTGAGGTTTAGGCGCTTGGATTCTGTTACTTTGCTCCGTAGTTTCCCAGTGTCAGAACAGATTATCAAAGCTTGATATTTAATATGTTGGAAACTAATTTTAAAACATTTTAAGGACTCACTACTTTGTGACATACAAATATTTTTACATTAGCATATTTATGTCACTCATCTCATGATGCAAAACATACAAATACGGACGGAATTTAAATTCCCTCATGGGAAAGTAATTCTTCTTGCTATTGAGATTTACATGGAGACATCTAGAAATGGAACCTTGTGTCTAGCATGGACACAACATAGTAGATGAAAAATTTCAATTTCAATGTGATGAACAGCCTGTTACAACTTGGTCCACTCTCCTTTTACGTGTGTCATTGAAAAGTAAGCAAAATGGGTACAACAAACGGTAATCCTAAAAGGATATAAGGCAAGCTTGTCTTCCTTGTTACAAAAGTTTCTAGACGTAATGTTGTGTGCATTTATTGAGTGCCAGCCATGTGTATTTACTCTTCTGCGTGCTGGAGAAACTACAGTGAATGAAGCAGAGAAAAATTCTTGCTCTAGTCTGCTTACCTTTGAGCTGGGGGCAGGGAGGGAGCAAAAGAGGGAGACAGATAATAAACAAAAGGAAGAATAATGTAAGTGCTATGTGCTATGGGAAAAAATGAAGCAAGTTGAAGAGGATGGGGAATGAGTGGGAGGCTTGTGACTTGAAATAAGATACTCATGGTAGGCCTTAGTGAGAGAACCTTTCCGCTGCCTGGGGAAGGGCCCAAGGAGAGAGCATACCTGGTATGTTCCAGGAACAGCTAGGAGGACATCCATACTGAAGTCTGTACTAGGTGATGTATTTCCTGAAGATTTCAGAGATCTTGCTTTAGTTTAGTTTTTTTTATGCCTTTCTAGTATCAAATCATCTTGACATTCTTGCTCATACTTCCCTAGCTTTATACACTCCTGAATCAGTTTACTGGTATTTTATTTGGAGTTTTTGTGTCTGTATTTAGGAAATTGGCTTGCAATCTTTCTTTCTCATACTTGTCTAGTTTTCATATCAAGATTATAATAACCTCATTAAATGAGCTGGAGCGTGTTGCCTGTTTTACTATTCTCTGGAAGGATCTGTAAAAGATTGGAACAGTCTTTTCCTTGAAAATTTGTAAAACCATCTGGCCCTAAGATTGATTTGTGGGAAGATTTTTACTACTGATTATGTTGCTTTAATGGTAATATGACTATGCAGGGTTTCTATTTTTCTTAAGTCAAATTTGAAAAAAAGTTTTTTCTAAGCATTTACTAATTTTTTCCCAAACTTATTAGCATAAAGTAACTCAATTTTTTAAACCTCTGCTGAATATATACTTAATTTCCTTTCCAAATATTGTTTGTGCCTTCTCACTTTCTTTTCTTTGACCATTTTGCTGGAAGTTTGTTTCTTTTATTAGTTTTTTTAAAGGACCAACTTTTGGCTTTGTTAATCTTCTCTGCCCTTTTCTTTTTATGTTCTGCTTTCTGGGGGTTTATTGTTATTTTTCTTATTTCCTGAATTGGACATTTAACTCATTCATGTTCAGTATTTTTCTTTGACATCTAAGGCTCTAAGTTTCATTAACTTTTGCTGCATCCCACAATTTGTGTGTGTCTGTGTACACATGTATTTTAAAAAGTGGTGATATGTAAAAATTTACCTTATGATTTCTTTGATGTACGAATTACTTAGAAATATATTTTTTAAAACACAAACTTAAGTTTTAAAAAGCACAAGTTCAGGTTTTTATAAATGCATTTCCTTTAAAAAAAACTTGTATTAGTGTCACCATTAATAAGACAGTTTTACATTATGTGCATTCTGGTATTATGGGCTGAAGATAGAACATTACTTATGTGATATTCCTGCTAAAAATGTATAACCTGAACCTAATCAAGAAGAAATATGAGAAAAACCTAAAACCTAAATTGAGGAGTATTCTGCAAAATAACCAGCCTATACTTGTCAAATATTCCCGATTAAAGAAGACTAAAGAAATGTGACAAGTAAACGTAACACGTGATTGTGGATTGAATCCTGGTTGAGGAAAAAAAAAAATTTTCTATAAAGGACATATCTGAGACAGTGCAATTGAGTGAGGCTGTAGATTAGATGATAGCATTATCAGTGTTAATTTCCTGAGTTTGATCATCATACTGTGGTTACTTAAGAAAAAGTCCTTGTTTAGGAAATGCACACTAGAGTATTTAGGGATAATGGGACATTATATATGCAAGTTAATCTCAAAAAGTTGAGAAAAAAATTATGTATACAGAAAATGATACAGCAAATGTGATGAAATGTTAACATTTGCGGAATCCAGGTGAAGGGTATGTGGCAATTCTTTGTCCTGTTTTTACAAATTTCCTGTAAATCTTAAATTATTTCAAAATAAAAAAGTTTAAAAAATCTTTTGTTATTGAATTCTAAATAATTACTTTGTGGTCAGAGAACATGTGAGTATGATGAAGTTTGGGCAAGTTATCATCTTTCTGTGCCTCAGTTTTTGCCATCTGAAAATGAGAAGAATAGCACCTACCTCAGAGATTGTTGTGAGCAAAAATTGCCATTTTTAAAGTGCTCAGGATCTAGCCTGGCATAAAGTAAATGTATATATAAATGTTGTAGGGGGCTGAATAATGGCCCCCAAAGGTATCAGGTCCTAATCTCCGTACCTTGTGAATGTTACCTTATGTGGAAAAAGCATCTTTGCAGATGTGATAAATTTAGGGATCTTGAGATGAGATTTTCTCAGATCATCCAGATGGGCCCTAAATGCAGTCACGAGTATCCTTCATGAGAGAGAAGCAGAGAAAGATCACACGCAGAAGAGGAGAAGGCAGTGTGACCACGGAGGCAGAGACTGGAGTGATGCTGCCACAAGCCAAGCACTGCCGTCAGCCACCAGAAGCTGCAAGAGGCACAGATCGGGCTCTCCCCTAGAGGCTCCAAGGTTGCGGGGCCCTGCCAGCACCTTGACTTTGGCCTAGAAACTGATCTTTTACTTCTGGCCTCTAGAACTATGAGAGAACGGTCTTATTTTAAGCCACTGAGTTTGTGGTAATGTTAGGCAGCCATAAGAAATTAATACAAGTGTAGGATTTTTATTATTGCCTATTTTTAGACATCTTATGAGACTTTTTAATGTCTAAGTATGGCCAATTTTTAAAATGTAACTTATGTACTTAAGAAGAATGTGTGTCTCTGTTATTTTCTATCTATGTCTGTTAAATCAAGTTTGTTAATTGTGTTCAGGTCTTCCATATCTTTACTAACTTGTGTGCCTGGCCAATCAATAAGTGAGAGAGGTGTTTTGAATTCTCTCAGTGGAATGGTGGATTTGGTCAATTTCCTATTTTTATCACTTTTTCCTTTATACATTTTGAGGCTATCTTGTTAGGTGAACAAAGTTTAGAATCCTTATGCCTTCCTGGTGACTTGAACTCTCCTTTGGTTATGTAGCGCCATCCTTATTGCTAATGCTTTTTGCATTAAAATCTGTTTTCTGTGATATTGATATAGCTACCTCTGCTAGATTTTTGTTAGTATTTAGCAGTATATATTTTTCCATCCTTTGCCTTCTTTCTGCATATTTATGTTTTAGCTTTGTCTCTTATAAGCTAAATAAACCTGGATTTTAAAAAATTTGGTAATCTCTGCCTTTTATAGGCAAGTTTATTCCCTTTACATTTTTTATGATTTCTAAAACATGAAGATTTCTTTCTATCATGCTATTTTGCGCTATTTGTTTCTCTTTTGTGCTTCTTTTTTCTCCCTTCTTGATTGGCTTGATATTTTTTTAAGATTTTATTTTTCCTTTTTCGCCCCAAAGCCCCCCAGTACATAGTTGTATATATTTTAGTTGTGGGTCCTTCTTGTGGTACGTAGGATGCCACCTCAGCATAGCCTGATAAACGGTGCCACGTCTGCGCCCAGGATTTGAACCAGCGAAACCCTGGGCTGCCGAAGCCGAGCATGTGAAGCCAACCACTCAGCCACGGGACCAGCCCCCAACTTGATTTTTTTTCATTCCATTTCTCCCCCTGTACTGGTTTGGAAGTTTTACACTCTATATTTTTCTTGTTTATTCCTGAACTTTTTCAGTGCATTCTCAATACAATCTGAAGTTATCTGGAATCATCACTCCTTCTTTAGTAATACGTGGTCTTTAGAACATTATAATTCTGATCAACCCTTTCCCGATTTACATGTTTTTGTGGACCACTAATTTCTGTTTTTTTAGACTCCATAAATTAGGTGATTTCATTATTCTTTTATACAAACATGTTGGTATAAAATAAATCACTACATTTATCAATTTCTTTGCATAGCTCTTTTGCATCTCAGACCTTCCTGCTGGTGCAAGTCATAGTTTAATTGGAACCATTTTTTTTTCTTTTTTGGTGCTATATTTAATGTAATGATGTGACTTACAATTGACGGCATCTTAAAGTTAATGAAATATCTGATCATTCCATTGACTTCCGGCTTCCATTGTTGGTGTTCAGAAGTCAGTGTCAGTATTGCATTCTTTCATAGGTGACAAACTCTGACCACGTAAGATACCTTTTGACTTAGTGTTTCTCAGTATCATGACAAAGTATGTAAGTGTGGAATTTTTAAAACTTATCCTAATGGGTTTATATTATGCTTCCTGTATTTAAGAATTCATGTCTTCTGTCATTTCTGAAAAATTCTCATTGTCTCCATCTGAGTCTCTAGTTATGAGTCCTATCTTCAGTTTGCCTCAATGTCTCTTTCATATTTTTCATCTTTCTTGTCTCCCTGAGCTGCATGCTGCATAATTTCTTTAAATCTGCATTCCAGTTCTCTAATTCTTCATTTATTTTATCTGCTGTTAAAGCTATTCACTGCTATTTTAATTTGTTATTTTTTTTACTTTTAAAAGTTCTAGTTGGTTCTTATTTAAATCTGCCTGGTCATTCCTGATGGTTTCTTAATGCTTGCTCATTTTTAAATTCAGTTTTAAAAGTTTATGGAAGTATTTCATGCATTGGTATTTTATATTCCATATCTGGTGATTTCCTATCTGAAATTCTTAGGAGCCTAAATCTATTGTTTGCATTTCTGCTGACTTTCCTTCAAGGTGGCTTATTTTCTTCTGTGTTTGGTATTTTTATTTTGAAGTCCTATTTGGTTGATTTTAATCTGGAGAAGAATCCTGGGAGCTGAACTGGGAGGTTCTTCTTCAGAGAGAATTTTTTTGGATCTGTCAGCAGCCTGGGGCCTCTGCCAGCCCGCATCCCTCCCACCTCCCACCGTTCAGGTACCTGACTCAAGGCAGGAGCCTCAGGCGTAGTCCTCTGACCTCGTGGTGACTGCAAGAGTTACTCTCCTGTCCCCAAGGCTGGTTTTGGCATTTCCCCCACTGATTTCTTGTTTTCTTACTGCTCCCTGCTTCTGGCTCCGATTTCAGTTTCCTACATTTCTTTCCCCTTTTGGTTTGGTTTGTTTTCTGCCCTTGGAGATCACTTATTTCTTGTGACTCCAGCCTTGCATTAGAATGTACAGAGTGTTCACAAATTCATTTAACAGGAGTTTGGGTGGTTAGTTGGTTTACATTTCTTCTAGGTAGGGATTCAGTCTGATGTAAGCTGATAGATATATCATGGCACAATGTAGGGAAGAATTAAAATTCCTGTAGAGAACAGAGGAGACATACAGAGGACTTCTAACTGGCATTCCTAGAGACTCTGTGGCCACTCTGTATGTTTGTTATAATTTAGCCAGAATCTAGTTGTATTATTCAGCCATACTGCCAGAAGTCTCCATTGAGTTTTCCATCTTTTTTCCTCTGTGCTTCAGTTTGGATGTTTTCTATTGACTGTCTTTTTTCTTTTTTATTTAATAGACTGTGTATTTTAGAGCAGTTTTAGGTGTACAGAAAAAATGAGCAGAAAGCACAGAGAATTCCCATAGGCCATACCCTTGTTCCCTCCCCTGCCCCCCCAGTTGCCCCTGGTATTAACATCTTAGCGTGGAACATTTGTTATAACTAGTGAACCAATATTGTTACATTATTATCAACTAAAGTCCATTGTGCACATTAGAGTTGACTCTTCTTTGTGCATTTTAACAAGTGTCTGTCATGTACCCGATTACAGCACAATATAGAATTATATAGTTGGAATTATACAGTACATAGCCTCTTCAGACTGGCTTCTTTCACTAAGTAATATGCATTTAAGTTTCCTCCATGTCTTTTCAAGACTTGATACTTCATTTCTTTTTGTTGCTGGATAATATTCTATTATATGGATATACCACTGTTTATTCACCTACTGAAGGACATCTTGGTCATTTCCAGTTTGGGCAACTATGAATACAGCTGCTATAAACATTTGTGTGCAGGTTTGTACGTGGACGGAGGTTTTCAGCTCATTTGGGTAAATACCAAGGAGCACAGTTACTGCATTGTATGGTAAGAGTGCTTAGCTTATTTTCTATTGACTGTCTTTTAAGTTCACTGATCCTACCATATGGAGGGTATGGTATGCTGTTAAATCCATCTTAAGTTCAGGTATTGTACATTTCATGTCTGGAATATTCATTTGACTCTTCCATGTAAATTCCAATTATCTATTTAAATTCTCCTTTTTTCACATACTTTGTCCTTTTTAAGTACACAATAAGACTAAGACAGGTGTCACCTTATCTTTCCAGACCAGCCCTTTGGCCTCCTGTGCTGCCCTCGCACTCACAAATGCCCCCACTGGGCCTACTGCCCATGTATTTAGGGGCTCCTCTAGATTCCAATGAATCATGCCATCCCAATGGCCATGTAAGGGTCTGTTGGATTCTCTTTCCGCTAAGTAGAGACGCCACTGCCTGTGGCAAGCCCAATCCTCAGATGTCATGCTTGGAAAATGTCCCCAGAGAAGAACATGGCCAGCTCACCAGCAAGGGTCTTTTTCTTAAAACTTTAGTTACACTCATCCCCATTGCATCAACAGATCTATACTGTCTTCAAAGGAAGAAAAAAAAAAACCCTATCATTATTTATTTCCTATGTTACAATGGAGTGATGGCATGCTACCACCATGTCCCACCCAGCAGAAGCTCTTTTGAGTTTTTAATTTTGTTATACTTGGTTCTTTTTCAAAAGTACCTTGCTATTTTTGATGGTTTTGAAATATACTTGTTTTTAATTCTGTGTAAACATATTAAATATCCTTATGTTGTGTATATAATAGTTGCAATAATAATTTTTATAGATGGTGCTCTTGTTTCTGCTGACTCTTGCCAATGGTGCTCTATTTCCCTGTATTTTTTGTGGTTTGTGTGTGAGAGTTTATTTATTAGAACTATATGGGAATTACTTTCAAGGCTTCAGTGAGTGTAAATTCTTCCTGGGAGGATTTATGTTTGTTGCATCAGACATGAGGGCACTACCAATTTTGATTTGCCTTAAATTAAAATTCTCAGCTTGTACAGTTGGATTTCTGTTGTTCTTGCTCTTGGGGTTTTTTGGGGGGGGGATCCCCATGAATTCTCAGGGGAGGCATTTCCCCTCCACCCCAAGTTAAGGCCAAGACAGAAAAGTTTTCTTGCTCTTTACCCCTGTAGGATTTTTTTCTTTTTTGCTGATGAAGATAAGCTCTGAGCTAACATCTGTACCAATCTTCCTCTATTTTTTTTGTATGTGGGACACCTCCACAGCATGACCTGTGAGTGAAGCAGGTCCGTGCCCAGGATACAAACCCACGAACCTGGACCACCAAACCCGAGTGCGTGTAACTTTAACCACTTGGCCATGGGGCCAGGCCCTCTGTGGGATTTCTTCTCTGTCCCACCCACTTCTCCCCCAGTTCATCCTTTCTCTGCGTAAGTAGCCCTCTCTTCCTGGGTCCCAGCTTTATGTAGAAAGTCTTTGCTATAACTTCTCTGCACAAGCTTTGTCTCCATCCTGTCCCAAGCCATCTACCCCTCCCCCAGGAACATCCAAGCCATTAGGCCACCAGGAGCAGGATACATCCCAGCTTACTCATCTCTCCGGACTCGTGTTCCCACATTATTCCTGGTCTTGGAAATCTCCTCTGCACAGGCGAATTCATTTATTTCAAAGGGCACTTTATCTTTCATTTGTAGGTTTTGTAGCCGACAACCTTCAGGACCTCCAACCTAATTTCTAGAAATGGAAGCTCTATGTGCTTTCAACAGATGGAGTCAGATTCTCCCACCTAAGGCGTGAGTGACTACTAGCGAACCACTAAGCCTCTGGCAGTAACACGTGGGCAGGGAATCTCTCTATGCGACACCTTCACTGAGACCTACCAGCGTGATGTGCCATTATTTTCCTTGGATTGAATTTCCTCAGGATTTCAGCAGCAGCTGCTCCACATGCAGCACACGGAATGTTTGGCAAGAGGCGGGTGTGAAAACCAGCAACTGAAAACAGGCTGCAGTGTGCACAGCTCGCTCCGAATCATTTCTAAGAGCTGCCAGCACTTAAAAGTGTCTAGGAGCTTTGCCATTGGAGGGATGAGATGCTGAAAGGAAGGTGATCACCTGCAGAAAGCAGGCAGCCGGAAAAGGTAGCGAGAACTCTTGCAGGTTCTTGCAAAATGACACAAGGCACTGTTGGGGATGCAACTTGCTGCCCAGACCTCCTAACCAGAATCTCGATGGGTGGCCTGGAATCTTCACTTTCTACAAGCATCCCTTAGTGACTCCGAGGCAGATGGTCTTCCAACCGTCTGCTGAGAAATGCTGGTTTCAGAGTAGAGGCAAAGCAGGCGAATTAGCAAAACCTCTTGGGACTGTAGGAGAGCTGTTTCAGGTGAAGAGAAACCGGAGAGCAGCACCAGAGTAAAGGGCTAGGGACACGCAGGGTTCAAAACGGGGGCAAACCAGTTACTTACAGCTTATGGCCAGCACTGGGGGCAGCCACTTGCCAGCTATTGCTCCCAGCCCCTGATACCACAATCACACTGTAACAGTTAGGAATCAAACCAGAGACAGAAACTATATAGTAATTTGAACAGGAAAAAAAAATAAAGAATTACTAACCATAATGGCATATTACCTACAAGGGGAAAAGGGAAACTCTAAGAATACAGAATAGCAGATATAGGGAGCAGCCACAACATACCTCTAGGTCGAGGCAGAACACGAAAGGAAGAACAAATCTGGAAGCATTCCCACCTGTTAGGAAGTACAGACCCATGCTGCTCGCAAGTCACCTGCTCCAGGTGAGGTTTCACAGGGTTTTCAAGCAACGGGAGAGCAAGCTACTTCCACTGCCAAGGGACGCTCAGGGTGGCCTGGGTGTTCAAGAGCATCAGTTTCACCCTGGTCCAAGCAGATGTCCCTATTTCAAGTTTGGGGATCCCATTCCCTCCCAGTTGATGCCTTACCTTCACAAGAGAAATTCAACAAGGCTGTAAATCCAACTAACCCTGCAGTGCAGCCCACAGAGAGGTGCCAAACACGGCCGGCCACCACGCACTGGAGAACCAGCCGAGAGGAGCACAATGGAATGAGAGAGAGCCCCTTCCACCTCTAATGTCATTCCAGCACCTTCTACAAAGGAAGCTTAACATCGGGCCAAAGAACAAGGGAGAAATGTTCCAGTATTGCAATCAAGGCAGAGAAGGATGGGTTTGGAGCTGAGAATCAATGGGTTGATAACTGGCAACACACTTCATCTTCATTCTCTCTCCCATGGTCTCTACCACCACCCCTGGATAAAAACACAAATACTGCAGACAGAAAGGAGGAAACCCAGGATGCCAAGACCCATAAATAACATCTTTCTAATGCTACGTACTCACATTTATCTAGGGTGACCACCCATCTCAGTTGCCCAGGACTGTCCTGGCTTTAGCACTTGAAGTCCTGGGTCCTGGCAAACCCCTCAGTCCCAGACAGACCAAATGACTGTCACTCTTCACGTGTCCTAAAGGTTTTCAAATTTTGTGTGCATCAGAATCACCTTGAGCACTTGGTAAAAATGCAGGCGACTGTTAAAAATGCAGTTTGCACGTAAGCTGGCCATGGATTGATTTTTGAGAAACATTCTACTTGGAGGCTGAAGAGGTGTTCATCACTACTTTTAGGGATTCCTAAATTCAGGCTTCTTTGTTCCTGTTCCAAAACCATAATCAGTGAAAAGAAGGAAATGGCTTCCTTGGAAAGATACAGCCAACGTTCCTGAGCCAGAAGCAGACACTGACAAATTACTGGTTGATGGGGAGGAGAAAAAGAGATAAAAATTATAGTCTGGCCATACCACTTTTCTCTCCTTTAGTTCAGGATAAGTCATTTTTCCTTTAATGTCACAAAGAAAAACGGATGCTGTGAAAATTAGATTTCATAGTAGCAACAATATAGGCACCTTGACGGGGTACACGGAGCTGCCTGCAGGTGAGCAACATATAAAGCAAGGCTTATTTTAAAGACTTCCACAGTGGCCACGCTTTGGTACATCTGAGAGAATAACGTGTACAAAATAGTTAATTCTGTGCTACTTTGCTATTTTCACACTGTAAGATACACGGTTTAACGCGGCCACTTTAAAGACGTTTCTCAAGAACTCAGGTGGGGTGAAGAGAAGACACTCAGCATATATGGAGTTTCTATTGTCTTCCAGGCATCGTACTAAACTCTTTAAATACATAATCTCACTTAATTCTCCCAACAGGAGCTATGCCCATCTTATAAAAAAGCAGAGTACTTGCCCTATTTATACTTCTAGCAAATGTGGCGTCGGGACCGAAACTTAGGTCTGTCCCTCGAGCAAAATCGGCTGAGACCCGGAGAGCCACGAAGAATAAGGCGAGGAGCCGCGCTCCGCTGTCGCTGCGATGGATGGAGGCGTGCACAGGCCGCGAGGGGAACGCAAGGAGGGCGTCTGCGACCCTCCACGGCTCCCAGGATAAAAGTCCAAGCCTTTTGCTCAGCACATCACGACCCAGTTCCCCAGCCCGCTCGCCCTTCCGTCGGCCCCGCTGGAACCCAGTCACTTTCAGCAAGGACCAAAGATGCTGGCGCTTGGACGTCTCCAGCTGGGAGGGCGGGAGGGGAGGGGAGTGACGTCCAGAGGGACCTGGGGCTAGGAAACATCTTCGTCCCCACCCTCGCCACATCCCGGCCCCTCCCGGGGCTCCACCGCACCCTCAATCCCTGAGCTCCCCGCCATCCCGGGCCCTCTCATCGGCACCTTCAGCGGCTGGGCCCTCCACGCGTAGGGAACGCAGAGCTGGCCGGACTCCCGGCGGGGCCGCCGGAAGCAGCGGCGGGGCGCGTGACGTCAGAGGAAGTGCCGGGCGCCGCGGCCTGTGATTGGGAGTTGCTGGAGTCGGTGCCCCACTGTTAAGGTTCCCCGGACCGCGGGCGGCGGAGCAGCTCCCGGGCTGTGGGGTCCGCCCAGGGCCGAGTAGGTTTGAACCTGGGCGCCCGGCTTATCGCGGGGCCGGGACAGTGGGGACCGCCCCTGAGATCCCTTCTCTGGAGGCCTGCGGCACGTCATCCCGGGCCTCCTAGAGGAGGGTCTAAAACAGGGAAAGCGGCCACCCCGTGAGGAGGGGACCAGGCTCTTTGCCTGCGAGGATCGCCTGGCTGCCTTTCAGCCGCGAGAGAGGTGTCGGCTCCCCTGAGTGCAGAGGAAGAAACTGAGGCCGAGAAAGGTGCAGTCGTTTGCCACAGGGCGCGCAGCTGGGAGGTGACCGCTCCGTTCTGAGCGAGTCGTGTCTCTTTGCGCTGCGCAGAGTTCTCAGGCTTGTTCTGGGCAGAGAAGCCCGGGACTCCACAGATTGACTAGGTGTGGGCTGGGGCTCTGGAACCGGTTTCCAGCAGCTGTCCTCTGACATGGAATAACGCAACCCACCTCTGTGAACAGAGCAAGCACGAAGTGCAGTAGCCAGTTGTCATGTTAAGCTTTTAAGGCCTCTAGTGGGAGAAGATGCGAACCAGGGCTTCGTCTACACATCCTGTGGGACTGGAGAGTCGGGATTTGAGTCTGCCATTAACTCTTTTTGGGCCGATGCAGGCTCCGTATCTCCCCGCCTTTTAAATGAGAAGAATTACATGTTTATCACCTGGGGGAATTGGTTAAACATGCAGATTCCCGGTTCTGGTTCAGCTCCACTGAATCAGGAGGGCTGGGCATGGGGCCTCGGAATTGGGAGCCTGAAGAAGCTGTAAAATGAGCTTGTGACCTTTGAGAACTTGAGATGTGAAACTTTCTTAGATAGACCCTTGAAGAAATGGATTGTAGGTTCAGAACACGTGGCCTGAACCTCCCTGTTTTTGTTTTTGTTTTGTTTTTGTAGCTGTGCGTGCTCTTATATTTACTGTGAGCTAAAATTTTATTGGCAAAAAATGTCAAATTTGTGTTACTGGCCATTATGAGGTGGATTTTTCAATTAGCTGAAGACTGGAACTTAAAAATTTGAATGTGAATCTACCTACTGTTGATTTCCTGAGTGACTCTGGGTGGGCCACTTAACTTAGTGCTCCTCATACCTACCTGCTTGTCACCATCTCCTACAGTGCTTGTTACAGAGACAGACAGCTGTGTCCATCCTCAGTCAGGTCTTCGGAGACCAGCCGTGGGTGATTCTTAGAAGCTTCCAGAGAAGTTTGATGGCAGCCAGTGATAATGGAATACGGAAATGTGCTTGAAAACTGAGTTTAGCCTATTTCTCAGTCCATGTAGGTGAGGAGTGTTACAGTTTCCTTGTGTTTTGCTCTTGGAGACTAATAAGAGGAATGTGATTTAGGATAGGTGTTAGAATTTCTTAACACGTACTTTCTTGTGAAAGAAGCAAAAACACAATAAGTTGCAAAAGATAAACATTCAAACTGGCAGCCCCACGTGACTCAGTAGGCTCCTTGATGGAGATGTTGCCTTTATGTAGAAGCTCTGATTGCTGTTGAGCCATCTTTTCTGCCTGAAAGGATTATATTTACCCCCTGAGTAGTCCAAACTCTCAGAACCTTCACTAAAAGCACTTTTTTTTTTTTTTTTTTAACAGATACCATTGTGTGGTTTGAATCGGGAACGAAGCCTTCTCAGAGCTAAGAGCAGAAGCCTTTTTGGTCAACATGGAGGACAAAAGGCGGCGAGCCCGCGTGCAGGGAGCTTGGGCCGGCCCTGCTAGGAGCCAGGCCACGGCTCAGCCAGGCAAGAACCTGCAGGCATCGTGTGTGTGTGTCTGTGTGTGTGGACAATTATCATCGTCTTTTATTTACATCCTTTTAGTTTGTAATGGACTGGAATTTCAGTTGATGTTGGGGAATTACTTAAAACCTGCCTGGTATTTTGTCTCATTTTGTGGATGGTGAGCTAAGGGTTGATCATTCCTGTTGCTCATGTTTCGTCACTACTCAGACCTTTCGGTGTGTGTGTTGAGGTCTGTGGTGAACTTCGCTAGTTAATTTCTGGGTGTCGTAGAGGTCCTCTCCGAGTGGATTTTACCGGCCCTTGCTCACCAGAAGGGAGGAGAGCAGGTGTTCCCCTGGTCTGAGTCTGCTGTCTCTCTTGCTCCAGCTCCCGCTGCTCAGAGCCGTCTCCACCAGAGGCCTGGCCAGACCTGGATGAACAAGGAGCACCATCCATCGGACAGACGGTTTGTGTTCAGAGAACCCCAGGAGGTGAGTTCTTGTTTCTCCTACAGCAGTAACAGATTTGCTTATGAAAGCTGTATTCACATCCTTGAAACTCAAGTTAACAGTGACTGAATAAATTCACTAACAGAAGGAGAGTGAAAGGCCTATGATAATAATGAAACATGGAGTATCAGTTTCTTAGTTTGTCTGGGGATTCTTTCTAGTCTGCCCTCAATTATGGGCATATAGAATTCCCATTTTGGGGACACAGAGGCTATACCATGACCAGAGGTTAGAGGTTATACCACGATCGAGCTCACACCAGTTCTCTAAGTTCTAAGAGCCCTAAGACCATGCTGCCTTCAGTGCTAGTGCAACAGACGGCTCTGCATTGGATTGGAATTCCAGCTACTACAAGGCCTGATTTTGTAACTTTCTTTTCTTTGGGGAAAAAATGTAAGAAACAATGAAGAGTCACTGTTTTTTGGTTTTTTTTGTGAGGAATATTGGCCCTGAGCTAACATCTGTGCCAATCTTCCTCTTTTTGCTTGAGGGAGATTGTCACTGAGCTGACTTGTGTGCCAGTCTTCCTCTGTTTTATGTGGGATGCCACCACAGCATGGCTTGATGAGTCGTGCTAGGTCTGTTCCCAGGACCCAAACCTGCGAACCTCAGGCTGCGGAAGCGGAGCACGCTAACTTAACCAGTATGCCACTGGGCTGGCCCTGAGTCACTGCTTTTAATAACATGGGAAAAAGAGCTAAAAATTGGGTATCTTGCTGTAGTTAGGATTGCATAAATAATGAAACTCCTATGTCATTGTATATCCTGTTTTTAAAAAATCTCCTGGAAAGGTTTTTCCAGAGTTGCTGGCTGTTAGGAAAATGGATGGATTCTAACCGTTTAATTTTTTAAAGCCCACTAGCAACTGTGAAGTACTTCTAAAAAGAGCAGAAACAAGGGTCTCTGGTTGGATAGTAAGAGCTTGGAATGAAAAAGGGGTAGTTTTAAACCTGATTTATTTTTACCAGAAAGGAGGGGATATGGTAATCCTGCAAGTAGGCCTCCGCGAGGACTAGGAATCGTTCTGGAAGTAAGATCTGCCTGTTTGCTCGCAGGTGGTACGCAGAGCCCCAGAGCCACGAGTGATCGAGTAAGTAATTGGCTGCCTTCCTGTAGCTGTTGCCCGCAGTGGAATGGAGAGCCTGAGTCTTTCTCTCACCCTGGTTTTTCCATCTGCTAGAGATAATGGCCCAATTAGTGTCTTAATTTTAGGCTGGGATATTCCTATCTCAGATGTCTTTAGACTTGGTCTTTTGAGAAGCCTTTCTGAATTTGCTGATGGCGTGGAAAATGCAACAAGATATCTGTACATTAAACTCCTACTCTGGTGTCGATTTCCTGACCCTATTTCACGAATATATCTGCAGTAAGCTAAAATATCTTCCAGGTAAAGACAGGAGGATTTTTCCTGAGTCATTGAAACATGGCTCTTTGAGAAGCCTTTAGGTACCATTTTATTAGCGATGCTTATGAAAGATACTAGAATCTAGATGACCTTAAATGTCTTTTTATTAAACCACATAGTTCTTCCAGAGTAATTTAAGTGATAGTAAACATTCCCGCTTATATTGATCTGTGTCTAAAATGTTCTTTACCAAAATTGGTGAAAGATTCTTTGACTCTTTTCCTGCTTCTCAATTTCCAACTGATATAGATTGTCAGTGGAAAGTGTCCTTTTATTTGAGCATTAGCATTATGTGTATGTTATTGCTCATGGACAGTCTGTTAAGCTGCTTGGCTGTTTGCATATTTTGTATATCTTAGAAAAATTTGAAACTGACACAAATGTCATCATACTTTCAAACAGGATTTATCGTCATGGCCTTGCCACTAGTTAGCTATGTAACTAGTCCTTGGGTGAGTTTTTGCCATCTCTCTGGACTTTAGCCTGTTTGTGTGTAATATTAAGGTTTTGGACTAGATAATCACTTATGGCCCAGTCTACCAGCTCTTAAGAGTATTTGCTTGTTTTACAAATACCAGTGTGATATCGCCTCTGTTGGTGATTAAGAGAATAAACAAAACCATGAAACCTGTTAGAAGGAACAGATGGGACATTTAGGCTGAAAAAATGGGCAGTTGTGAATTTGTAGGTCAGAGAAAAATGACAGAATTCATTCCAACTTGACCCTATGGTGTGTTAATTCTGGTTATCTAAAGTGAGCTATGCTGGATTTTTTTTTTTTTTTGGTGAGGAAGATTGGCCTTGAGCTAACATATGTTGCCAATGTTCCTCATTTTGCTTGAGGAAGATTAACCTTGAGCTAACAGCTGTGCCAATCTTCCTCTGTTTTTTCTGTGGGTCGCCACCACAGCATGGCTTGATGAACGGTGTAGGTCCGCGCCTGGGATCCGAACCCACAAACTTGGGCCACTGAAGCAGAGCACACTGAACTTAACCACTACGCCACAGGGCCAGCCCCTACGTTTTTTTTTTTAATAGCCAGAAATGTTGCCCACATTTAAAGTGAGCTAGTTTATAAATGTGCCCCAAAATAGATCACATTGAAACATTGTATTCACACTATGGGAAACTTTATAGGCAACTTATTTAGAAATGCGATAAATATAGATGACGGTAACTCTGCCTGCGTTTTGGCTCAGAGGGGCTCACACGTCTACCTAAGAGCCCAGCTCAGAGATCATGAACTGCTCCCTCACATGGCAGAGCATGATGTGAAAACTGTCCCTTTGAACGATTCTCTGTAACTTCTCTCTGGCTGAGAAGGATGTGACACACTTGTCTTGATGGAGGCCCCTGTCCAGCCCGGGTCACTTTTCTCACCATGGGCCTCACCACCCTGCTCATTTCCAGCAGTTTTGTTGTTCTGCACATTTGATTAAGTTCAGTAAGCTTTTGTTGTCCGTCTCCTAGGTGCTAGGCCCTGGGAAACAGAATGATAACCCATTCCTTGCCCCTCAGTAGCCCCCAGTCCAGTAGATGAAATAGCCGTGTAATCAGACAGATTCTAATCCTGTATGTTGTGAAAAGGTAGGCGTGCATGAGGTCCAGTGGTAGCACAGAGATGAGCTGAGTAACCTTACTCGGGTGGATTAAAGGGCAGGAAAGGTTTACGGAAATGATGCTGAGCTGAGATTGTGAAGGGTGAGTTTTCCACTGGCCCAAAGCTGGGTTGCATTGGGGGTGCTGGATGGTGGGAGGCATGCCAGCAGGTAGAAGAGCGTGGGATTAGAAAGAGGGTGGTGTATTCAGGAGATTCCGGGCAGCAGTCGTTGCTGGAGGAGGATGGGTCAGTGGGGGCTGTCAGGAGGTGGAGCTAGATCACGGGACCTTGAATGCAGTGCTGAAAAGTTGACGGGGAGCCTTCGAAGGATTTTAATCAGAGCAGTAACCTCGTTAGATGTGGATCCCTGGAAGCAGCAGAAGCTCAGAGCCCTGAGAGGTACTTGCTGCCTGCTAAATGCATCCCTATTGCAGGGTCTCCAAAGGGGTGCTCTGCTGGGTGTGATAGGCTTCTGGACCACATCAGCCTAAATTATGGGTGAAATATAAAGACAGGCTCAGAATTTTCTTTATCCCGGTCTCTGTCTCCATGGCCTGATGCTGCCAGGAGTCTATTCCCAGTCCATTAATGATGTCCCACCATCTCGTCCTTTATCTCAGTGCTAGAAGAAGGCGCGGCCGTGTGTCCCTCACAGTGTGCCCTTGTCGTTAAATGATTTTGGTGAACCAGGATTTGGGGGACTCCAAAGGACAGTCCTTCCACTGGGTGGGGTGTGTTGTTTTGCCTGATACTAACAAGTCTGTTTTCTTTGTTCCTTTAGCAAAGAGGGTGTGTATGAAATCAGCCTGTCACCCACAGGCGTATCCAGGTAAGTGAACCCCCACTAGACAGTGACTAGGATTATTACCCAGTTATCATCTCTTAAAATATTCTACTCCCATGCTTGAAATAGGTCAGTCTGCCCCCTAAATTCTTGGGGAGTAAGAATTTGGTAAGATTTCTTTTTATATAGCATTTCTGGCTTTAAAACATCCTCACAGTGTCTGTCAGGTGTAGTAACTGTTACTTCCCAGTTTTCCAGATGAGGAAGTGAGGCCCAGGGAGATGGAGTCGCTTCTCCTAGTGCCACATAGTAACTTAAAATTAGAGTTGGGTCTAGCCTGACTTCTCTGCAGTGGGTGCCGCATTACGTTATTATTAAATTACATTGTATGTATTACTACCTATATTATTACGTTAATCATGCATTGTTATGTAAACATATATTGTCACGTTAATCCTTAGTCTAATTAACAGATTAATACCTTAATCTGCGTTAAGGTAGGTTCCTGTAAAGTCAAAGTACGGTCGATTTAGGGTCTATTAGGCCTTAGTCATTGTTTTAAAAACATTTTGAAGCATTCGTCTTAAAGCATGAGTGTACTAATTGTCACTACAAAATAATGAGACACTTAAATAGATCAGGACTTATGTATTTAAATGAATTACTTAGGAACAGCTTCTCTTGGACTGAGAAGTCTATAATTAGTCCAGGGGTACTGCCGTTCTAACCCTTTCTGAAATGTCCCTTTTAAAGCAGGTTTAACAGTCACACAGGAAAACCAGTTGCATTATTTTGGTCACAGCTCATTGTTAACCAGGTGTGGCTTCAGGTGAGCTTTGGCTCTTTCAAAGAATCATTTCACAGTATACGTAAGTCAGATTATTATGCTCTGTACCTTGAGCTTACACAGTGCTGTATGTCAATTATATCTCAGTAAAACTGGAAAAATAATTCAGATCCAAACATTTTAAATTAGACAACTGGTTAAAAGTAATTAGTAAATTACTTGTGCTGTAAAAAAAAAAAAATCAAATGCATCTTCAAAGAGTGAAGTTTCGGTACCACAAAGGCTGTTCAGGAGAATGTCCCATGAGCTTTCAGAACATTTCTTAAGAAGGATATCTGAAATGGTTTTGAGCTGACTTGGCATTGTTGAAATAAGTATATATTCAATGAGAGAAAGATCCTTCATTTGCATGTGTATATTTTGATACAGTCATAAATGATCACTTTCCCTACAATTGGCATAGTTTCAGAAGACTACAGGGCCAGGCATTTTATTAGTTATTCTACTTTTCATAGTGACCTTATGAGGTGGATGTCTTTGTGTTACAGATGAGAAAAACTAAGGTTCAGAGACGTGAAGTAACTTGCCCAAGGTTTCACAGCTAAGCAGTGCTGGAGCAATATTTGAACCATGTCTATAAAAGCCCTTATGCATCCCTATGTGGGTCATCACTTCTTTTATTTGTCTGAACATGAAAGGAGTTTATTTGACATCTGGAGCATCATGACCTGGGTGGTCTTAGGCTCTGCCTGCCGTGAGAGGGGTGGTAAGATGATTTCATCTACCCGCGAAAGGAAGCATCATCCAGATTAATTTCCTCTGCTAGTGGGTAGAGTCTAAGCCATCGTCTCTGTCCTTTAGTTAATAAGGGCTCTTTCTGCATCAAGGGTGCGTTTGTATCCTGGCTTTGTTGACTTGAAAGAAGCCGACTGCGTGTTGGAGCAGCTTTGCCGGGAGGTTCCCTGGAAGCAGAGGACCGGCATCAGAGAGAGTAAGTAGATCTCGGAGACAATATGTTGCGCTGGCTTCCCTTTCCCGAATGTTTTCTGATACCGTTGCCCTTCTCACCACAGCCAGTCTCAAATAGAGATTCAAAACTGGAGACCCTGAGGATGAGAAAGAATCAGCCAGTCTGAGGGCACGAGGGAGAGTGTTCTAGACGGAAGAAGTAGATGTTCTCAGAGAGGACATGGCAGGAGTATGGGGCGGGATTCCAGCAACCAAAGGACGTTTGCTTTGGCTGAACTGTAGTTGACATGCTTATCTCCCTGTGTGATTATTCACTACCTTTATTACTTCAAATGGTGCCAACTTTCCTCTTCATAGGAACTTCCAGAGCGTTCTTTTTTCTGATTCTATTTGTCGTACGTTCTTTTTGCAATCCTTCTTATACCGGCTTTTTATTTTCAGTTTCACTAGAAGAATCCAGTGTCTTTTAGCTTCAACATGTGTGCTCTCCTGGGCCGCCTTGGCAGCTGCTCCTCTGTGGGCATCCACGAGGGCGGTACCTGCTATGCCAGAGGTGGTCACTGGGGGGCGACCGTGCTCCAGCATCAAATTTCCTGTCTGGCACATTAAGTGAATTAAATGTTCTGTAACAAAAGGGGCAGAGTAGACCGGCTTCGTGTTTGTGACTCAGACATCAGAATAGGAGTCAGCTTTCTCCTGACTCCCAGCACTTTCTACCGCGGAGCTCTTGGGGACAGACTTGGCTCTGATTTCTGGCTCTGTCATGCAGCGGAATTGTTCATTTTAAGCACATTACAGTTAAGTAATTTTCCGATCCTTGGTTTTCTGATCTGTAAGATGAGTTAATAATAATACCTGCCTTGCAAGGTGGTTCTGCTAGTTAAATGAGATAACGCACGGTAAGTACTTAGCAGAGTGCCTGGTGCGTAGTGAGCTTTCGATGACTGAGCTGCTTTTCTTATTCCTCTTATTGTCGTGGTGGATATCAGTTGTGGGAATGATAGATCTGTGCATAACTCCCTCTCTAAATAAACTGGATGTCAGAAACTTCTGACTCAAGTCAGCTACATGCTGTGGTCGGTCAGAGCACTTTTTCCTTGATTGGGACTCAAAGGGGTGAACGCAATGGTGGCACAGGGGCAACAGTTTGTCTTGCTTCTTGTCTGAACCCTGGTGCCACAGATTCCTCCCTCCAAGGGTCGGACTCCATATCCTGCTTTTTAGACCCTCCCTGATCTGATCTCTGCTGTTCCGCAGTGTCTCTCCCTCACTCTTGTGTGTGCCCTCACTGACAGAAGTAAGGCACACGCCTTCTCCCCTCAGAGCCTCTGCCCATACTGTTTCTGCCAACGCTCCTTGTCTGTGTGCTTCCTGTTAGCTCTTACCTATTCTGCTCCTGACACGCCGTGTCCCCTGTGAAGGTGGAACCTCAGTCCGAGCCCGTCCTTACTCTGCCTTTGCATTTCTCATGGCTTCTTGCACATTGCAGGGCATGGTTGTTGGCGCTCAGGAGGGATGCCGTAAATAGCATCAAACCATTTCAAAGGCCCTGTATTTTCTTTCTTAGATGTAACTTACCAGCAACCGAGACTTACAGCATGGTATGGAGAACTTCCTTACACTTATTCAAGGATCACTATGGAACCAAATCCTCACGTATGTTGGAATTTTGTCGTTGGTATGCTTTTATAGACTATAGACATAAATGCAGAGTACTGTAAAATAATAATAAATTACCTTGCGGAGCTGCATGATGCTTCCCAGTTGAAAAAGTCCTCTGGCTTCAAACACTGAGTCTTTGTACTTATCACCCTGATGTGCTTTTGATCCGTAGATGAACTCTGAGGATGAGCAAAACCTGGAACTAGGGAAACTGGAACCAGACTCTTGGATTTCAAGAAATGAACCATTTCGTTTCCTAATCTACCCCTTCCCCAAGCATCTCTGGCTGTAGCCCTTCTGTGTACACCCCGGGACACATTTGTTCTGGGGTCACGTCCTTATGACTGGCCAGTGAGGTCTTTTTCCATTTCTTAGGCTCTTTGGCCATTTGTGAAGAAATCTGCTGTTTGTCTTGTTGACTTTGTATTCGCTCCATGGCTGCACTGCTCAGGGTTCCTGCTTAGCACTGCTGTGGCTTGTTTCTGCTGCTGCTTTTGTTTTGAAAATTTCCATGACAGTAGATAAAGAGATTCTGGTGTGTAAATTAAGCTTGTCCAGAGGATAGAGTTAAAGTCCAAGAAATAGCTCCCTGTTTAGTCTCTGGAATCTTGCCTTTGGCAAATAATGTTATGCTTTATTGAAAGAGACTTTGAAGAGAAGAGAGTTTTGCTTATGGCATCGGGATAAACAGAAATGTGACATATTTTAGAGCTTCTAGAAATCTGTTTTTATAAATTACCACTTTACTAAAATGGTCAGGGATAAAATATTGACTGGAGGGCACATGGCTTTTTCACATAAGGAGATGGCTCTATGCTTTGGTTTCTAGGGCTGCATTTAGAATATGGCCCAGGGAAGTGCTGAGACCCTTGATATCTGAGGTTGATTTAGAAACATGAAGAGAGTTGAATTAGGCCAATCCACCATAGACTGCTGGCCGTGTGTCTGTCAGAATTAATTTCCCATCTTGTCAACAGTCATAACAGAGAAGTTGAGGGATTACACAGGCTGTGGAGAACAAGTTCCTTCTCGTTCATTCTAGTTAATCTTTAGACCAGGATTTCTCAGCCAGGATATTATTGACGTTTTGGGCCGGATAAGTCTTTGTTGTCGGGGCTGCCCTGGGCATTGTAGGATGTTTGACTTCTACCCACGAGATGCCAGAAGCACCTCTCACCCAGTCGAGACAACCAAAAATGCCTCCGGACTTTGCCAAACACTTGCTGGGGGTGCAAAACTGCCCCTGGCTGAGAACCACTGCTCTGTGATAAACGTAAGCGTGGAAGACCTGCTGCTGAGTAGAGGGGCTTGCGCTTTGGCGGCATTCTGACGACCCTTCCAAAGAACTTTTGTAATGACAATCCTTTTATTCTAATGTAAGTAATGTGTGTTTATTTTGAAAGTTTAGAAACTGCAGATAAGCATGAAGAATATTAAGATTTTGGGTAATTCTTCTACCTGATGCTTTGGTTCCAGTCTGTTATGTTAGGCAAATATATGTAGAGAATTTTTCTATAAAAATAAAATCAATTGTGTATACTACATTTCATTTAACTATATTATTAGCGTGTGTTAGTATCATTAAATACTTTTTTACAACATCGTATTTAACAGCTGCGTAGTATTCCATAATCCACATTGAATTTGAATAATTTATTCAAGAAGGCCTCTTTTGTTGGGTATTAAGGCTGTCAAATTAGAATTCTGTAATTTGAATTTGGCTGGCTCATCACTTTGTATTTATTGCTAATAGATTTACTTTATTGGTATACATCATGAACAAAATCAAAAGAGATGCCCCTTTCTTAGGTTTTTTTAAGGAGAATTCACTAATGTGTGTATATGTGTGTTGGAGGTACTCGTTTAATTTTAAAACCGTTATACGTCGAGCTTCATATCCCATAGCACAGGGGCAGAGTCAGTCGTAGGTTGTTAAAGTTCTGTGAGCCTTTGTTCAATCTCAGTCTTACGGGAACTCTGCGTATGAAAATCAAAGAGCGCCTTGACGGCCGGGAGCCCTCCGGCTCCCTCTCGTTTCCCTCCTGTGGTCCCAGAGGCGCCTCTGTGGCCCCTGGCTCTCTACAAAGCGCTATTGGAAGTGACTGAATAGCTCCTTTGACTTCTGCGAGGCACGCCGCCTCATGCTCTTCTCCTCAGATGTCTTTTAAGGATAGAATGTCTTCAGTGAACAGTGAGATGACGCTGAATTTTAATTTAGACGTTCAGTTCTGAGGGATCTGTATATAGAGTATTGGTTGGAGAGTCTAAATTAATCCTCTAGTTCATTATCCTCTTTTTCTCTCCTTACTTCACCACCAAAAATAACCAAGAAAAAGCATATTCCCACTTAGAAACATCCTGCAGACTCGGTGTTATCATGGTGCTCAGTCCCCAAGTGCATTGGGAAGCGCTAATTAGTTTCACAGTCACATTGCAAACATGCTCCCATCCTCCTCTACATTCTTGTTTGAAGTTTATAATTCTAGCATCTCATCTTTATCTCCGTGAAAATAAGCTTAAAGTCATAAAATAGATAGCAAATACGGCTTGCTAACATTATTGTGGAATTTCACTTTGAAGTTTATCCTCTTGAACATAGTTTAGTTTAATAACATTTCTGTTTTATTGGTCTAAGTTTTGTTTGTTGTAGTTGCTGTTTACTTTTTAAAATCCTCTGCTTAGAATATAATGCTAATATCCGTAACAAGGAAACCCAGCTTTTATCATGGTTTCCACCTCACAGCAAAGCTGAGGGATCCCCACATATGCTTCCCTGGCAGTTTTACCTGACAATAGCCATGGGATGTATTTAATATTAATAATGTGCTTTCCTTTGCTGAACATCTGTTCCTTCACTACCAGACATAGAACGTGGCCTTTGCAGGGGCTCTCAGAAGTAGCAGTTCTTTTTTTTGTTTGTTTGAGGAAGGTTAGCCCTGAGCTAACATCTGCTGCCAATCCTCCTCTTTTTGCTGAGGAAGACTGGCCCTGAGCTAACATCCGTGCCCATCTTCCTCCACTTTATGTATGGGACGCCTGCCACAGCATGGCTTGCCAAGCAGTGCCATGTCCGCAGCTGGGATCTGAACTGGCGAACCCCGGGCTGCTGAAGCAGCACATGCAAACTTAACCACTGTGCCACCAGGCCGGCCCCAGAAGTAGCAGTTCTTAAAGTGGAATCTGTGCATCCCTGGAGGGGGTCCATGAAATCCTTTTTTGGGAATCCTCAAGGTCAAAACTATTATAATAATACTAAGACTAGATGACGTTTTCACTGTGTTGAATTTGCACTAATGATACAAAAGTAGTGGTGGGTAAAACTGCTGGAGCCTTCTTAGCATGAATTAAGGCATTGTCACCAAACTGTACTGGTGATCATTGTATTCTTTTCTGCCATGCACTTCCAGTTTGAGAAAAAATTGCTGGTTTCACTTAATATCCCTTGATGAAGCAGTAAACATTATTAGTTTTATTAGATCTTGATCTTTGAGTACATGTCTTTTTAACAGTTTGATGAAGCGGCAAGTATGCATAAAACCCTCCTGCTACAAACCAACCAGGAGCTTGTCGAGGAGAAACACTTGCGTGACTGTTTAAGCTGTAAGCTGAACTGGCTGCTTTTTTCGTGGACCATTTTTACTTGGAAGAGCAACTGGCAGACAAACTGTGGTTACTCAGACTTGAGCATTTGGCAGACGTTTTCTCATAAATGAATGAAGTCAGTGGCACTTCAAGGAAAACAATGGACAGGATTTGCTACTAATGATAAAAGTTATTTTCAAGCAAAAATTAGAATTTTCGAAAAACTCATATTCACCACTTTGAGCCTGACCTCTTTCCATTACTTAGCCTTTTCTGATGAGATCAGTGGTGATATTAATGGATATGATTTTTGATACTGTATAATGAAATGCATCAGCAATTAAAAGAGTTGTATAACTCAGTGAACCAATATTTTCAAAATGGCCAGTTCTTGATGTTACAGCATCATGCAAGATTAAAGATCCATTCATACAACCAGAGGCACTCATAACTAGAATATACAACTGTGTACTGGGGGGCTTTGGGAAGAAAAAAAAGATTGGCAACAGTTGTTAGCTCAGGTGCCAATCTTTAAAAAAAAAAAATCCATTCAAAGTGCAGGCTGCACCAGTGGATTTAAATATAACAGAATATGAAAAGTTTGTTGATATGGTTTCAGATTCTACATTGCAACTAACCTTTAAGAAATCGAAGTTGAAATATAATGACCTACATCTGAAATTTGTGTAATGTTATAAACCAATGTTACCTCAATAGAAAAATATTTTAGTAAAAGAATAAGTAAGAAGTCAGTACTGTTGAGTTTTGGTGTAATATCAAAGAGTATCTACAACTTTTGAAAAGGCTATAGAAGACTCCCATTTCCAACTATGTATCTCGATGAAACCTGTTTTCTTCCTATCCTTAGATGCAAACAACACATTGTAACAGATTGAATGCAGGAGCAGATATAGCAGTCAGCTCTCTTCAATTAAGCCAGACAGTAAAGAGATTTGCAAAACAGTGCCACTCGTCTTACCAAACTTTTGTATTGGAAAATAGTTATTTTTCGTAAATAATATTTATGTTACCATGTAATGGGTTTGCTATGTTTTTAATGAATTAACCAATAGTTTAAAGTTTTTTCCATTTTAATTTTTAATATGGTAAATATCATTGCTGTTACCCACATAAGCAGAAGTTCCTTGGGTCCTCAAGAAGTTTTGAGTGTAAAGTTTGAGAACCACCGTCCTAAACGTAGCTCTGTAAAGCAGGTGAGAGCTCTTGGAGGAAAGACCTAGAATTCTAACAAGCCCCAACACAAGCTACGCTGGTGGTGGCTTCCAGTACAGCTAGAGGTCAGGGGTCGGAGCTTCCAGTAGCATACGTGGCAAAACCGCGACTTCCACGTGGAAGCAAATGCAAGCGCACTTGGTGCTCCGGGGCAGGACTGTGGACTGTTAACTCTGTGGCTCACAGCCTGTATGCCTATGAAGGCCGTGCTGTGACTCCATTCTGTAGAGAAGAATGTTTTTCCCCTTCAGCTTCTGTTTCAGGAAGTTAGCCACTCTGGAAATATTTAATATATTTTTAAAAAGTTAATTCTCCCATTTGTGATAACATGGGAATTGAATGAACACAGGGCCACCCACAGGAAGGTTCTTTCGCTCCTCAGATTTCGGTCTGTATCAGCTGGCTGGCTGGCTGGCTGGCTGGCTGGCTGGCTGCCTGACAGCTGTGGTGGCAAACCAGACTTGGGCTCCACTCACCACCTTCTCGACCACCTACCGAGGTGCCCGCCCTGAGGGTATCGATAGCTGCCATGTTGCGAGAGTCATGGATTTCACATGGCACAGATGGGATGGGTAGATAGGCCTGGGTCTCATGACATGACTCAACCAAATTTAGTACCTTAATAGAATTACAGAGGTCAGCTTGCTTCAAAACAGAAATAGTGGGAGGGAATTAAACTACTCTTCTTGGCTTGTGCTTATTGCATAAAAGTGGTTTGCTTATTCCATGCCCATGTTTATAATTTGACTGATTTTGCACTTTCTTTCTATTTTTCCCCCTGGCTGCCACCTTTCGTCATTTGTGAACCGTCTGCCCATTTCTTGGCCTGTTGATTGCAGTGGCATCCTGTGCTTCTCACACTGAAGAGCCAAATTGAAGAGAACACTGGTCACACTTTCAACTCACTGCTCTGCAATCTTTACCGAAATGAGAAGGACAGTGTGGACTGGCATAGTGATGACGAACCCTCGCTGGGGAGGTGCCCCGTCATTGCTTCACTCAGTTTTGGGGCCACACGCATCTTTGAGATGAGAAAGAAGCCCCCACCAGTGAGTATTCTCTCTTTTTTTAATATCCTTCCTGCCTCCTATTATTCTGTGAAAAAAGGAGCTCTACTTTACAAATAGGAGCTACAAAGCTCCTATTTTCAGATTTAGAGGATAGGAGTATGTGTTTTGTTGATGAAACGTTTTCAACTGATTGCTTACCCTGTGGTTCACTTTTGACTCCCAGAGTGCCCATTCGTTCATTTACTTACCCAGCAGAAATTGCCTGCCACCTGCCAGGCGCTGAGGCTCTTCTTTCGGCAGAAAGGACAGATACAGTTCCTTTCCTCGTGGGGCCAGGGGTAGACAGGTATTACTAATTACTCAAATAATTGCAATTGCGAAAAATTCTCTGAAGGACAACTTATAAAGGGAGGCTCCATCCGGGGGGGGCAGGAAGGGAAAGGAAGGAGGCTCAAAGAGGATGCTCCCGAGGAAGCCTTTATTTTAAGTAGGTGTTCTTCGCAGCACCGTTGCCGCTTTCCTGTGAGGGCCTGCCGTGCGTCCTCATCGCCTTCCTAGCCGTCTCCTGAGATAGAGCTACCTCTGCAGTTCTTTCGGAGACAGGAAGTTCACGCCAGATTAGCAGAGGCGGTGGTCTGTCCAAGTTCAGGTCCAGAAGCGGCGATGAAATGGGCTGTGTAATCCCTTCAGTTCTCCATCCCACCTCTTCCTGTATGACGTGACAGTTGAGGAGCACCAGGCTGCTAATTTTTTTAAATCAAAAAGTGTGGAACCTCAGGCCTGAGATGGGTAGAAAGATGCTGGGAACTCTAAGGAAAGAGCAACCCTCTACCAGATCTTCTCTTTTCCAGGGTTTGGGTCTTTTTCCAGCAAGGTTCCCAATCATTCAGCTGATGACATTGAACCAGCCCCAGCCAGCATGGAGGGCCTGCAAGGCTGTGTTTTGAAGAATCCGGACCACATAATCGTTAGTCAGTCACTGCTAGTGTCTGCCCTTCGTCAGATATGCTTCTCTAAGAAGCGTTGATGGACAGGGCTCTATTCGTGCCGTGTAGTGGGTTTCCAGGCCTGGTGTTCTGAAGCATATTGTGTCGTTTTGCATGTATGCCATTGAGCGCCTTTTGCTGGTACGCTTCCCATTGGTTAGGTTCTCTCTGCTTTTGCTGACACAGCAGCGTTGGTCTGTGTCAGCAGGGGATTGCGAGTTGCAGGGACTTGTTGAGGAGCCTTTGCGGTTTCCCGGGCAGTCAGCCTTCCTTGTACCAGGGAGGACCACGCAAGAAGCAGACTCCCCAGCCTTGCCATGCCCTTTACATATGGTTATGCTCTTCCACGCAGGCTGCCCCTCAGTTAAATCCCAAGTTCACATGTGTGAAGAATTCATCCTGCCCTTGCTAAGACTCCTTTCCATGATTGGAGAGAAGCACCGCGTGCCTCATTTTTAAGTTCACACCCTCTTCTCAAGCCAGACATGTGGAACCCCAGCAATCGCCAGGCGTGGGGTGGGAGCTGGGGCCGTAGCAGTGAGTAAGATGAAGTCGTCTTCGCCCCTCAGGAGTTCGTGATCTGCCGCATTAGCGCTGTGCCTTCCGGAGTTAGCCTTCCACCCTCTCGGTCGGCAGACGGGCTCAGTGGGCGCAGTGTAGTCTTCACTGCAGTCCCAGTCTCCAGTTCTCTGCAGTTAGTTTCCTGGTCGCCAGGTCTAATTTAAGTATTCAGTTACTGTTTCTTCACACACGTACATTCGCCACCACCCCCTTTTACAAAACGTTTTGGCCTATTTATAGATTTGAAGCTGAAGAATTCCCAGAGCATGCTTTCTGGATAATTAGTTTTACTGTATGAGCAGTTTCCAACCATTGAACGTTAAGAGTGTTCTGGTGCCCAGAATTCCCCCCATTTCTCTTCCCCTCCAGGCAGCTGAAGGGCTTCATTTTCTCATATAAAACATTGTTCATGGTGATCAAGAGCCATTTCTTGGTAATATACTTCAGTTATGTTATAGGTTAATGCGTGGATGGAGAATATAATTACCACAGAGCGTCGTTTCTGAGGGCAGCCATTTGAAACAAAATCCCTCTGTAAGAGAGAGACTGTCCGTGCTGGAGCTTTCTCTTCTCAAGGCTTCCTGGAGGCGGTTTTGATCACTGAGTCACCGTGCAGGCCGTGAAACCCCAAAAATGTGGTTAAGTCCCTTTAATTACCTGCTAGAATCAAGGGAATCTGCCCTATAACTGTGGTACCTGATTTGGTAAAAATACAGATCTGATAAGTAAGAAAATTTGTCTGAGACCTTGAAACAAAGTTGGCTGGGGAGACGGATTTGGGCAGAAGTGTAAATGTGTTAGTACCTCGGGTTATTGACTCTGATTTGGCTTCCTGTGCAGGCTTAACTAGATCGAGTTTGGTGCAGTTGTTTATCTCTTCAATCCTGGCTGTTAAGATGGAGAAATTGAATGTTAATATATTTGAAATTATAAGCATGCATTAGTGAATACAGTTTAAAAATGACTTTTTCCCCCAGAACCTGTAAGGTCCATTCTTGGGTAAACAAGACCCAAGTTTACACTTTTGGAAAGGCTCCTTCAAGTTTCTTTAACAGATTCCAAAAATCTAGGGCTCCACAAGTCTAGCTAAACCAGAAGTACAGAAGCCTTTCTTTGAGTTGACAGCCTCGGAAATGTATCTCAGAATACATCATCTTTATCTTATTACAATGATCTCTTTCCCAAAGGATTGAAAGGAAGTGGTGGTTGTAAATCTGTCTACTTTTCTTTCTGAACTCCGGTGATAGCTCTGAGAACAAGACTCATGATTCATACAACCCAAGGTAAAAGCATAGATTAAAAAGTACAAATTAGCTCAGTCTTCCGTGTGGGATTTGTAAGAGTCTGACTTTCTGTGACTCTGAGGGACCTATCCTGGTGTGCCACTAGAGATTGTGCTTTTCATGTCTGTCAACAAGACATTTGGAGCGTGCCAGAGGCCGGCGGGAGGGAACCTCTTTCAAACGCAAGTGAGCGTTAACCTCTCAGAGGAGAAGCGAATACCTGTTTGACCCAAGTCAGAGTTTCTCATCTAGGGCTGACAGCAGACTCATGAGATTTTCTGCTCTTCATTCAGGTATGCGATTTTGAGACAGAAAAGCATCTGTTCGGGGCCGGTTTCAAAGAGAATCGTCTTTTTTACCTTCAGACGCCTCCACCCCTCAGCAGCGGCGTGGCCTGCTGTCCGGCGCCTCGGGCAGGTCTCTGTGGCTGGGGATCCGAGAGCTGCCCCAGTGCCACACTCTGCATTCTGGGCTGAGATGGGGTGACGTGTTTCCTCGGCACCAGGGCCTGTGACTCAGGCGCTTGGCTGTCAGCTCCATGCGCACATCATCCCCAAGGTCAAACATTTCACTCCTCCAGGCGCCCTCCTTTTTACACGGTCCTCGTCCAAGTCTGCCAACTCCCACTCATTCATTTTGACTTGGGAGTAAATCACCATTTCCTTCGATGATAATAAGGTACTGTGGGCACAGTAGACCTGACTCATCTTGCTCTCCCATTCACCCCATCCCTTCTTTTGTTAATTGAGTTAACGACTGAGTGAATAGCACCCTATTTATCTTCTGGCCAATATCAGGATATACTGTCTTAAGACAGAAGTAAAACTTACCAAATATACTTGAGCAGGCATTTTTTAGAAACCAAGAACCTTTTTTATTCTACCAAGCTGGGCTCATTAAAGCTTTGCAACACTCCTGTCCCAAACCCCATTATACTTTGCAAACTGCATCACGTCCCTGTTGTAAAGATTAGTCTGGTTCCTTTCCCAGCTAGCTTTAATTCTATACTGAAAAACAAGCTGGAGAAGGAACCACAAAAGCCATTTGGCAGGCTGCTATTTCTCTGTCAGTTACCATGGAAACAGTGATGGCTGAGTTGGGGGGGTGGTTATTAGGTAATAGCAGGAAGTTTGTGATGCACTGGAGGTTTAGATCCCCCAAGCCTTGTTTTTCTAGAAAATTATCCATGAATAAGCTCTGTTCTTCAGCTGAATCCTGAAAATATGAGGGGCTTCTGTCCCCCTCAGGGCTATTGAGTTGAGGCAAGTTGGGCATTTCTCTAATCGCTCCTCTCTCGAGTACCTTCTGAAGGATGTGAACCCTTTCACATCACCAGGAGAGATGGTTGTAAACCCACTGCTGACAGCAGAGGCTCTGAGAGCTCCCAGTGAATTGGAGCTCCTGGTGCCTCCCTTGCTAATTGGTTTTTACACACTACTGGGGAGAGCAGAGTAGGAAAAGGTTGGTTTGATCATAAATACTGATATATTCCGGGACTTTAGAAAAAATTAGGATATTGGAATCCAAAACAGTATAATAGTGACTAGCTTACCTTTGAAAATTGGATAAGCTAGACTGTAGTGTCTGACCCTCCCCTCAGCCAGCACCCCACTGCTGCTGTGCCAGTCATCCACACTTCCTAGTCCATCTCTGATTACAGCAGCTGCTCGGAGGGACTGCAGGCAGTGCTGGAAAGAAGTTGTTGATAACCGTCGTCTTTTTAATACATGCCCTAATGAAATGTAGCAAATTAGGTTTTGTTTCCTGTTTCTGTCCCTGATGTTGGTAAAAAGCACCTGTCCACCTCATTTATACTTACTCCTTGTTTGTAAATGGAGATGATAATTGGTAGCTCCTTCATGGGAGTAACAGAAAAGTTCCCCCATGAAAGGCACTGTGACAGTTGTCGCAGTGATCAGTGAGTCTGTGAGCTTTTGTAGATGCTAGATGCCATGGGGACTTTCCACATGTGGAAATCGAGGAAGGAAATGAATAGCCGTGAGGCCAAACTCCAAGATTCCCTTGACCTGTGCAATGGCCTTCATGGAGGGAGGAAGGGCGACGCAGGGAGGGTGAAGTAGCCTGCGAGCAGGAGCGGTGACTGAGTTTCGAGCTCCTGTCTCTGCATCATGGAATGGTTTGGAGAGTGTGAATGGGTAAACAAATGTGCACATGTTTAAGCGCATAAAGATAAGTAGTCCTGGTAGGA